CTGTCTGACTGTCTGACTGACTGACTGTATGTATGTCTGTCTGTCTGTCTGTCTGTCTGTCTGTCTGACTGTCTGTCTGACTGACTGACTGTCTGTCTCTCTGACTGTCTGTCTGTCTGACTGACTGACTGTATGTATGTCTGTCTGTCTGACTGTCTGTCTGTCTGTCTGACTGACTGACTGTCTGTCTGTCTGTCTGACTGACTGTCTGTCTGTCTGTTTGTTTGTTTGTTTGTTTGTTTGTTTGTTTGTTTGTGTAAATATAAATCAGACCAATGAATCAATGAAATGTGAGTTTTTCCAGCAGCTTTCTGTCTGGCTCCGGTTCCGGTTCTGGTCTTAGAACCCAACAGGAACCCTGGCCGGTTCTGTTTGGGGACATGAAATGTTTTGAGTGGAGAATCGTCCCCGAACCACGGCTCTGGTTCTGGTTCTGGTTCCACCATCAGCTGTTTCTGAGGTTCAGACTGGACCGACTGCAGGTGGACTCGGTCTGATCCGGGTTCATGATTCGGTTCCAGATCTACAGAGCGCAACCGAACCGTGCTCGTACGGAACCGGACTAATCCTGGATCCTGACTGGTTCCGGCTGATCAGAACCCCAAGTGATGAAGACTTCGGACGGAGAAGATGAAGAGGGTCTCCGCGGGGACGCGCATAGTGAGCGCGCCGCGCGGCTGTGGAGAGGCGTGACGCGCCCGAACCGGACCTCCAGGATGGCAGGTGAGTGTGGGTTCCGATGAGGGATTAGCATGATGCGGTGGTGTTGGTGGTTCGGTTCTGATCCGGATCAGCAGGACTTCGTGCTGTTAGCGGCTCGGATGAAGGGAGGAGGCTCAGTAGTGAACCGGGCCATTCCGAACCGGATCATCTGTGTTCGGAACCCCCGGGGATGTTCTGCAGCTCTAACCCGGGAGTGGGGACTGCAGCAGCCGAACCGGGCCGTTAGGACCGCGATGTTCTGTGTAGTGGCCGAACCGGGCCGATCCGGAGCTGGACCGGAACAGACCCACCGAGCAGAACCCATTTATCAAAGATGTTCTGCAGAACGGGGAGGAACCGGATCATTCAAATCAGATGGGAACCAGAGGCACCCAGCAGAACCGGGTCAGGGTTCTGCTGCTCACCTGACTTATCCTATTGGATCCACTAGAATCGGAACAACTGGGTCCAAAATGTTCCGTTTATGAATAACTTGAGATGAATGGATCCGTTTGTTCCGGTTCTGGACGGGTTTGAGCTTCGAACACAGAACTCTTTATTTCAAAATTCGTCTTTACAGGATTTAAAGGAAACCTGTTGGCTAAGTTCAGCCTTTGTTTGTTTGTTTGTTTGTTTGTTTGTTTGTTTGTTTGTTCCATGAAGATCTTTGGAACAGTCCAGGTCATACCTCTCAGAACTCCAAAGAAAACAATAAATCCACAAGATCAAAGAAAAAGAAGCAAACAGGAAACAGGAAAGTGAACAGGACAAAAAACACAGAAGAAGAGATGGATGGGAAGTGAAGCAGGTGCAACAGGAAGTGAAGGGATAAATGTAAAGTGAAACAGGAAGTGTAGGGTTTAACAGGAA